AATAAGTTATTTACACAGTTCTACTAACTAATTTTACACCTCTGCAAAACTAATATCACACCTAAATTTAACATTTTTTAATTCTTTCATTTGTCATCCATTAGTGTAAATTATGATTTTTTTTTTTACTTGAAATTGACATTGATTAAGCATTCTAGCGTATTTGAAATATAGCGTAATTGTAAGATTTTCTTCAATAATCTTCAATAACCATTCTAGTGAATGTAAAATCTTCCGTAATTGTTTTTTTTTTTTTAACTGAGTTGGCTTCATTACGTACCAATGTGTTATCCAAATATTTTGTCTTCTCATGTATGCGGCAATTACACATTTCACAGGTTATTATGTCACATTTCTGAGAAAAAATACATTGTGAAGTTTAATAAGTAGGGACACTGATCACCTTCACCATCAAAATAACCTATTCACACAGTTCTATAAAACTAATTTCACACCTCTGCAAAACTAATTTCACACTTAAATTTAACATTTTTTAATTCTTTCATTTGTCATCTGTTAGTGTAAATTATAATATTTATTTACTTGGAATTGACATTGGTTAAGCATTATAGTGTATTTGAAATATTGGATAATTGTAGGATTTTCTTCTATAATTTTCAATAACCATTCTAGTGAATGTAAAATCTTCCATAATTATTTTTTTTTTAACTGAGTTGGCTTCATTAGGTACCAATGTGTTATCCAAATATTTTGTCTTCTCATGTATGCGGCAATTACGCATTTCACAGGTTATTATGTGATATTTATGAGGAAAAAAAATTGTGAAGTTTAATAAGTAAGGACACTGATCACCTTCATCATCAAAATAAGTTATTCACACAGTTCTGTAACACACCTCTACAAAACTAATTTCACACCTAAATTTAACATTTTTTAATTCTTTCATTTGTCATTTGTTAGTGTAAATTATGATTTTTTTTTACTTGAAATTGACATTGGTTAAGCATTCTAACGTATTTAAAATCTTCGATAATTGTAGGATTTTCTTCTATAATCTTTAATAACCATTCCAGTGAATGTAAAATCTTGCATAATTATTTTTTTTTAACTTAGTTGGCTTCATTAGGTACCAATGTGTTATCCAAATATTTTGTCTTCTCATGTATGCGGCAATTACACATTTCACAGGTTATTATGTCACATTTATGAGAAAAAATACATTGTGAAGTTTAACAAGTAGGGACACTGATCACCTTCACCATCAAAATAAACTATTTACACAGCTCTGCAAAACTAATTTCACACCTAAATTTAACATTTTTTAATTCTTTCATTTGTCATCCGTTAGTGTAAATTATGAATTTTTTTTTTTCTTGAAATTGATATTAGTTAAGCATTCTAGCGTATTTGAAATCTTAGTTAATTGTAAGATTTTCTTCTATAATCTACAATAACCATTGTAGTGAATGTAAAATCTTCCATAATTGTTCTTTTTTTTTTTTAACTGAGTTGGCTTCATTAGATACCAATGTGTTATCCAAATATTTTGTCTTCTCATGTATGCGGCAATTACACATTTCACAGACTATTATGTCACATTTATGAGAAAAAATACATTGTGAAGTTTAATAAGTAGGGACATTAATCACCTTCACCATCAAAATAAGCTATTCACACAGTTCTGTAAAACTAATTTCACATCTAAATTTAACATTTTTTAATTCTTTCATTTGTCATCCGTTAGTGTAAATTATGATTTTTTTTTACATGAAATTGACATTGGTTAAGCATTCTAGCGTATTTGAAATCTTGATTAATTGTAGGATTTTCTTCTATAATCTTCAATAACCATTCTAGTGAATGTAAAATCTTCCATAATTGTTTTTTTTTTAATTGAGTTGGCTTCATTAGATACCAATGTGTTATTCAAATATTTTGTCTTCTCATGTATGCGGCAATTACACATTTCACATGTTATTATGTCATATTTATGAGAAAAAATACATTGTAAAGTTTAATAAGTAGGGACACTGATCACCTTCACCATCAAAATAAGTTATTCACACAGTTCTAACAAACTAATTTCACACCTTTGTCAAACTAATTTCACACCTAAATTTAACAGCTCTTGGGATTTAATGGAGCCGGCTCTTGAAGTTCAATTGAGCCGGCTCTAAGTTGTTGAGCCGGCTCTTTGAGTTGGCAGCCGGCTCATAATAAATATGGAGCCGGCTCTCAGAATTTTTAGAGCCGGCTCCTTGCCAAGCAAAAAAAAAAAAAAAATGAAAGAAAAAAAAAAAAATGGACAGCCGGCTCAAGAAGAAATGTGGAGACGGCTCAACCCAATTTTTTGGAGACGGCTCAATTAATTTGTAGAGCCGGCTCTTTTGGGTTTTTTCAGAGATGCCGAGAGATGGATGTTTAACGGAAGGCAGATTTAACGGAATAATGCGTTTTGCACCATTTTAGTGGAGCCCATAGACATATTACAAACTGAAGCACACGTGGCCAAACTAAGGCCTTTTATCAGCTCACAGCAAGGACTGCAAGGTAACTCACAGCAAGGGATTTGAGCCCAGTTACAAGAGTTTGGATTCTAAATGGACGGCGAGAAAATGGTCAAACAATGTGATCGGGCGGAAACAAATTTTGGACCACATTTTTACAAAATGTGGACAACATTTTCACAAATATTGAGGACCCAATGAAGCTTCAAATGAGAGAGAAATTGCAGTCTCTCATGATGATGGGCAGATGCTGACTAGCATGAATTAGGTACCAATAAAAAAATCTAGTCAGATGTGTTTGATCTGCATTTTTAAACGCTTCTTTCATTATTCCCAACCACAAACCAATCACCATGAGAATATTTGATATACATTAGCCAGAATGCTAGATGATTCGATACAAAATCATTTTGATCACATGGGATAGATATGTAATGGATTTGTCACTGCTACTTTGTGATTCGGTTTCAAAAGTTTAGACCACAGACTGATCTTTATATTTTTATTTAGAAATTTTATTTAGTCCGCGAATTAAACAACTCCGGCTTTGACGGACTGATTTAATATGAGTGGAATAATGTAATAGAAGTTATGAATCGTTGACAAAGGTTAAGGGTGATTTTGAATTTACAAAGTTGAAAATATTTATAAAAAATTCTGATATATCATTAATAACAGTACATGTATTTATATAACATCATAACAAACCTGAAAATATAAAAAAACTACTCTTATAAAAAATTGCTCGAAATCAAACTTTTCTCATAAAAATAAAGTAAAAAATTTAATTACTAAAAATTAGTATCGTTCTTTCTGTCACAGTGATATATTCGGTGAGTAAATCATTTTTTTTTTTTTTTGCCTTTTCATTAGTTAAATCCCCCTATTACTATTAAGTGAGTAAATAATTTTCTTTTCTTTTTTTTTTTCTTTTTTTTTCTTTTTTTTTTTTTTCCAGGGAAAAGGTTTTCATTTGATTCTGTTGTTCTCTGTGTCCCCTTCTTCTAGATCCTTAATATTTGTTGGTCCCACAAGTATACATGCACATGCTTTTCACTTACTATCTTTTTAATTGAAATATTCCATTTTTGTTGACAGCTATTCTCTCACTTTTTGTAATCCGTCTGCTGTATCTCCCACTTTTTATATTGTTGAATCATTTATTGAGTTCCGAATACAGAGATTCTAGGAATTTTCATGATTTTTCCACACGGGGATATCCGAATTTTCTGAGCAACTATCCACGGCGGCCTATATAGTAAACCTCTAATGAAAAGCTGAAGAATATTATTATCATTATGTATATATATATATATATATATATACAGGCACACATTTTCATCAAGATCCCCGAGTAGGTTGATCATCTGTCCCTTGGCGTTTATATATATTTATATAATTTTCAGGTGCTCTACAGGCTAGCTACAGCCCCATTTTGTTGACTAAGGTTGAAAATAAAATTATACTTACAGCATTATATAATTATATGGATCTGAAAAGTGTGAGGACACCACTATACAGGGTGTAAGACTGTTACTTAACTAGATAATGCGGAGACCAACATTACATGCATTATTATAAATATAGAAAAATAAATTTAATGTAAATATATCATTCTAATATATATAGAAGGAAGAAGTAAATAGACGAAACTGATAGAAATTCATTATTATTATTATTATGTAGACTTGTTGGATGCCTTTCATCTGTCAATTTCCCTATTGCACATCCCACTTGTAAGACAAATGCATTTGGCCAGTAATGGTGGCCAACACACCTTACATTAGTGGCTACATAAGATATATACAACACTCTCCTTCGATTGACAAACCAAACCCACCGTTGTTGACCTTTACGTCCTTGGATTTCACAGGTTGTGCGTGAGAATTTCTTTTTTTTGTTTTTCAGATGTCAAGTGCTTATTGGCCCCATTAATGTTCATAGGAATGTGTTGTACTAAGGTTGGACACACGTAGTAAATGCCTGCCTTTGTAGTTAGTTTCAACTTTGGGCCAAAATAGTCTACCTGGTCCCAAAATAAACTATGACTGGTTTTAGTATTTTTTTATTGATATATTAGTAGCAAATTAATTACTAAATATTTTTATAATAGGTTCTCAAAATGTGATGATTTATTTTTTTATAATTTTAATGCGATTTTATTGATAATATAATCATATATATATATATATATATATATACTTAGTAACTTATCGGTAAGTAGGGCGAAACTACTCACTTTTATATAGTCCAATAACAAAATAACGCATCACCTTTAATAATAAAATAATTCACACATTTCTCTCCTTTTTGGGATCAACAGTATATTGTGTTTTTAGGTGTGGATTATTTTATTATTAAATATGATGTGTTATTTTATTATTGAACCAAATAGTGGTGACTAGTTTCACTTTACTCACTAGCGAGTAATTAAGTATTATCTTAATTTTAATATTTTAAATAAAACATTTATTTTGGCACCCAATTCCAACTTTTTACACTTCCAACACTATAAAATGGGATGCACTCAAGTCACCAGTATCAAGCATTCACTATAAGCAGCTATATCTATATCTCTGCATACATAACTAATCACTGTAAAAGCACCAAATACACTTCAAATATGGAAGTGGTCTCCGGCAATGGACATTACAGCTGGGCCAAAGAAGTAAAGGAATTCGATGAAACCAAAGCCGGCGTAAAAGGACTTTTAGACGCCGGCGTGGTGAAGATCCCCAGATTCTTCGTCCACCCACCTGAGAGTCTTCACAGTCCATCCCCACCTGATAACAAGAGCAGCCTCGAACTCGAGTTCCCCACGGTAGACCTCCGAGATATCGAGAGTGGTGGAGATCGGAGAAAGGAGGTGGTGGACGGGATTCGACAGGCGGCCTCAACGTGGGGTTTCTTTCGGATGGTGAATCATGGAGTGCCAACGAGCAAGATGGAGGCTATCTTAGAAGCTGTCCGGCGATTCCACGAGCAACCGGTGGAGGTGAAGAGGGAGTTTTATTCCTCTGATAGTAGACTGAAAGTGAGGTTCAACAGCAATGTTGCTCAACGTGAACTTGATGCTGCATGTTGGAGGGATTTGTTAACTTGTGTTTATCATGATGATATTTTGGATCCTGAAGAAATTCCTCTTGTCTGCAGGTAATTATAATTTTGTTTTTGCATTAATTCTGTCTGTTTTAGACCAAGTCTTATAGTATAGTGATACTTAATTTCTTGCCTTACAGCAGAATAGTGAGAGTTCAAGTGTCCATATGGGCAATGTAGGGTGTGTTGGTATGTTTTTTGTCAATAAAAAAAATATATATATCTAACATATGAGTAGCATTGGGGTTATTATCATTTTGTGGGTTTTTGTTTGATGCAAGGATGAGAAGTTTGATTAAATATCTTAAAAATAATAATATAAATAAATAAATAAATAGATGATGAAAATAAGAGGGTGAAGATCATTTCACATAGAGGGTGAGATGAGAGCACCCCACAGGGAGTCTATAATATTCTGTTCATGGAGATCACATCCATGTAGAATGATCTCCACCCTTTTCATATGCAAAGAATTGTCGAATGAACAAATGAAATTTTAATTCGTTGAGAATATCCAACGTCTTATACGCTCTCATTGCACTTTCTATAAATTGATCTTGTACATATCTTGATCATATATTGCTTTCAATCTACTTCTTGGTTGCAGAAAAGAAGTGCAAGAGTATGTGGAATGCATGATCAAACTGAGGGAGACACTGGCTGAGTTACTATCAGAGGCTTTAGGGCTAAGCAGCGACTACCTATCGCGCACAGAATGCATGAAAGGTGAATCATTGGCATGCCTTTATTACCCAATATGTCCTGAGCCACACCTGACCTTGGGCACCGTCAAGCATTCAGACACCAGTTTTCTAACCCTACTCCTGCAAGACAACACAGGTGGTCTACAAGTTTTTCATCAAAATCAATGGGTTGATGTGTCTCCTGTCCCTGGGGCTCTATTGGCAAACATCGGAGATCTCATGCAGGTATATGTGTCACAAATTAATTGTTTCATTTGAAAAGTTAAAGCAAAATAAAAATTATCTTAATTTTATATTTAAAAAATTTCCTCAGCTAATAAAGGATATATGAAGGGGATTAAGTTTATAATATAAATATATATGTGCATATGTTATTTGTATATTCTCATCAAGCGTTCATAGGTTGTGTTTCTTGAAGTGTTGCATGATAAATGTCATTAAATTTTTTTTTTTTTTTTTTGGTCAAAATTAAAAAATTTATTTTGAGGAAAGAACAATATTAGCCACAAGAGGGAAATAGATTTTCTTGCAAAAGCTTGAAATTTTAATGAAAAGAGGTTTTATAATTTCTTCAATTTTTGCTTTTACTTGGTGTGCATCATGAGAACAAATGGAGAATTTTCTATAAGTTGACAAGTGACCACATGGTTTATAGTTTTTTCAATAAGTTGACAAGTCTTCTGCTCTCTTTTTTCCATTGATAAAGAAAGTACTAATAAAATATTCTAATAAGAACAAATGGAGAATTTTTATTATTGTCTATTGGCAGGAGATAACATATATATCCTAACCAAGTCTTATGTTTACTCTCTCCCCTTTCCCTCTCTCTCTCTCTCTCTCTCTCTCTAAATATATATTCAGATTATTAGCAACGACAAGTTTAAAAGTGTGGAACACAGGGTGCTGGCTCAACCGGTGGGACCAAGGGTATCAGTGGCATGTTTCTTCAATCCAAGTAGTAGGTTTCAGTCTAAGCCTTTCGGACCCATAAAGGAGCTTCTGTCCGATGGAAAACAACCCATATATAGAGATTTACTTTGCAGTGAATACTATCAATATTACAAGACCAAGGGAACAAATGTTATCTCAGCCCTTCCTCATTATAAGCTCTAGACAAGTACTTAACCATATATATATATATGTTGCTGGTTAATTACAGAAAATCATAAGAGTTTAATTAAATAATGCTGCTCAGTTTCCAGATGATAATAATAATTAATAACGCTTGAAAAAGTCGTTATAAATGGTCTGTAATAAAAGTACTGCTCATTGTGACAATGTTTGTGGCAGATATATATATATATATATATATATATCTTTTTTTATGTTGTAATAATAATGCTGCTCATTTTCATCTGCAATGGTAGTACTATCTAATTTGCTGGATTACAATTTCACTATTAGCTTTTAATGATGTATGTGCATGGTCTTGTTTACAACAAATGTGGTGAAACCAAAATCGTAATAGAAAAAACTAGCAAAAAAATTAAACATCTATGTATCATATACAAAAATATAAAGATTTATGTTGTTCATAGTAGGCAAAAGATTTTATTATATAAAAGTCAAGAAATTACAAGTTTTAATTCCAATTCTCTCTTCATGTGAAAAACATCTTTTAGCGTTCTCTCAAGTCACACACTAAATAATGTACCATTTAATAAGTTACAAGAGTGTAGAACCTAATCGACGGCTGAGAAAATGGTCAAACAAATCGGATGGATGACAATGTGATCGGGGCTGAAACAAATTTTGGACCACATTTTCACAAATATTGAGGACGCAATGAACCTTCAAATGAGAGAGAAATTGCAGTCTCTGATGATGATGGGCAGATTGTTGACTAGCATGAATTAGGTACCAATAAAAAATTCTAGTCAGATGTGTTTGATCGGAGTGCGATTGAACCAAAGATCTCTCAGCTCGGACCACTGAAGCCTCACTTGACATTGACTAATTTCACACGTCATTATTCCCCTCAACTCACTGCTAATTTAAAACTTTCCTGACCTCGTGCACGGATAATAATATCACTACGCATGCGCGCGCGCACACACAAAATAAACCTACTTTGACATAGTGGTGGGAATAACAAGTGTTGACAGTAGCCACTTCACTTCTGTATGATGATAGGGTCTGCGATAGAGACGACGACATTCAGTTAACGACGATATTAGAAGTGGTTATTAATGATAAGTAGAATCTCTTTACAAGTGAGATCCTATTCAACAGCCTATATCGACAAAACACCGAATCGATGGAATGAGGTAGATATACGAAAAAATCATATTTCAATTATTACGATTTAATTCTCTCTCTCTAAACCCCCCACTAACTTAATCGTCGGAGGGGTTACAGTCGGCACCATACCGGTACCTGACTCAGCTATCTTTATTTTATAGAAAACAGTGTTGTACTAGTCGCGGCGAATTTCAACCCCAATATATATATATATATATATATATATATATATATAATATGTGTATATGTATGAAAATCATCAATTCAATAATCAATGTAGGCAAAACAGGCTAATGCTTTTATTTATTTATTTATTTTTAAACCACTTCCTTATGCAATTTGCATATTTAAACACTTCTTTCATTATTCCCAAACACAAACCAATCGCCATGTGAATATGTGATACACATTTTGGTGATTCTTACGAATCTCGAACCAGCCAGAATGCTAGATGATTTGATACAAAATCATTTTGATCACATGGGATAGATATGTAATTGGTTTGTTACTGCTGCTTTCTGATTTGGTTTCAAAATTTCAGACCATTAATCAAACAACTCCTGTTTTGACGGACTGGTTTAATATTAGTGGGGGATAACGTATTGGAAGTAATGAAGAAATAAAGATAACTTTGAATTTACAAAGTTGAAGAAATTTATAGAGAATTTTAATATACTATTGATAACAGTACATGTATTTATAAATAAATAACTCTAAGAAATCCTGAAAGCATAAAGAAACTAGTCGTATAAGAAATTGTTCAAAATCAACTTCTCTCCTAAAAATAAAGTAAAAAATCTAATTGGTAAAAACTAGAATCGTTCTTTCTGTCTTAGTGATTTATTCTGGGTATTTTCTTGTTGGGCTGGGCTGGGCTTGACTGGCCATGTTTTAGGTTATTTCAGGCCAACTTACTGTTGGGTCCTTATGTTTGTACAGTTGCTTTTCATTCAATAAATTGTTTTACTCTTTATTAAAATAATAATAAATAACTTAGCTAATCTAACATGATAAAACAAATTGCAAAGGCTTTCAAAGTAGGAGAGTTGAACACTACCTACATTTATTTAACCAATATCTCCATCTTTACCTTACCACTTGAAATATTTATTTCCAATTACCAGCCGAAAGTACCAAAATATCTATGGGTTATTGTGATAGGTGTCCGAGTCTGACAAAATTTTATGATAATTATCATTAATTAAACTAGAAATTTTTTGACAGATTCATGTTTTAAGTGATACCCAAAAACTCTATTTTCTAGATATTTCTCGTTCAATTTAAATCACCAAATACTTAGAACTAAAGATAGAAAGTTTGGATGCACTTGTGTAACTCGACTATCAAAATAAAAAAAGTTAAATTTCCCAATTAATTTATTCAGTGGGTAAATCATTTTCTGGTTTTTTTTTTTTTTTTTTTTTAAATCCCCTATTAATATATTAAGTGAGTGAATAATTTTTTTTTCTTTTTTTGACCTTTTCATTAACTAAATTCATAAACCAAACCAATCGACACAATGTTCTTAATTTTAAGTCCAAAAGAAAAGGGAAATGGTTTTCTTTTGATTCTGTTGCTCTCTGTGTCCCCCTACTTCTAGATGCTTACTATTTGTTGGTCCCACAAGAATATATATGCACATGCTGTTCACTCACTATATTTTTGAAATATTCCATTTTTGTGGACGGCACAAGAAATTATACAATATCCTTGCGCTTTATATATTATTGGATCATTTATTAAGTGTCGTCTATTAATGTTTTTACTTTCTTATTTTTGCTTTTTCAAAAAATAAAATCATGATTTTCATTTTTGAAACTGAAATATAAAGTAGAATTATGTTTACTAATTTTGTATGCTTTCAATATTTTCAAAACAATAAATTAGAAAGTAAGTTTAGTAATTATATTTTTTATTTTATATTTTGTTTTCTAAATTGTATATATATATATATATATATATATATATATATCATCAATGCTGCAATTTCCGACTGCCAGAAACCAAAATTCCAGACTGCAATTCCCGAATGCCAGAAACCAAAATTCCAGATTTGCCTTTTAGAATGAGAGATTTCACTATATATATATATATGAAGAATCATGTTTCCAAATACTCTTCCCCGTTGTGAGGCCAAACAAACCACGAACCACAACATGGAGAAAATATCATTAAAATCATTGATTGGGCAAGAAAGATTTGATTTGGCAATATGAGATGGAGATGACTGAATAAGCAGGGTTAGGTTCAATTCACTTGCTGTTTCAGATTTCTCCTGTTGAGCCAATTCATCTTTGAAGCAAAATTTTCTAAAGAGAGAGACGAAGAGACTTGACTGATTCAAGGATTCTATGATTGAAACCAAATGTACAGGGCATGTGATGAAATTGGTGTGCCCATGCCCAGTAAAGCATTGGTTGGCGACGACGTTCTCTTCCTCATCTTCCTCCTAGTTGATTTGAGCCTCAATTTGCTCTCACAAATTTGAGCCACCCGACGGAGGTTCCTCTGTTGAATCATTCGATTTTGAGGTTGGGTTTCACCATCGACAATAGATCCGTGGGAAGCGAGTATTTGTAGAGAGAGAAAGAAAGACATAGGAGAGAGAGGCGTTCTCGGAAGTGGCGATGATAGAAGTGGTTGTCGGCAATGGCGATGATGGTGATGGTCGTCGACAATGAGGGTCTGTGCTTCATTTCTTTTCTTTTCTTTTTTTCTTTTCTTTTTTTTTTTTTATGTTGATTTGGGTATATTGTTGATGGTGTGTATGAAAGAGAAGAGAGTTGGTTTGTGGCAGTGACTATGGTGGGAGGAGGTGGCAGTGGCAATGACCATGGTGGGGAGGAGGTGGGTGGATGAGATGGGTAATATATGGCGGATGGCGGATGACTGGTTAGAAATTTTTTTATTTTTTTTTTAAATGCTACAGTATATAAAGTAATTTTCTTGAACAATGTAGAAAATAGAGAAAGTGAGAAAGTACCTTCTTAAAACAAAAAAGTGAAAGCATTTTATTAAACATAATTTTTACTTTTGATTCTTAATTTTAGGAATTAGTAGTAAAAATCATGAATAATTCCTGTTAGTAAACAGGCTCTAAGCGAGTTCACCATTAGACTCGGAATATTATTGGATCATTCATTTAGGAGATTCTAGAAATTTTCATGATTTTTCCACGTGAGGAAATCGGAATTTTCTGAGCAACCATCCACCGCTCTTTGGCCAATATACTAAACATATTTGTGTCCTCTAATGAAAAGCTGAAGAATATTATTGTCATTATATATATATATATATATATATATATATATATATCTGTTTTTATGTTGTAATAATAATGTTGCTCAGTTTCTTCTGCAATGGTAGTACTATCTAATTTGCTTTATTACATTTTCACTATTAGCTTTTAATGATGTTAGTGCATGGTCTTGTTTACAACAAATGTGGTGAAACCAAAATCGTATTAGAAAAAACTAACAAAAAAAATAAACATGTACCATATACAAATACAAAGATTTATGTTACTTGTAGTAGGCAAAAGATTATGCAAAAATAAAGAGGTTATAAGTTTTAGTTCCAATACCCTCTCCAGGTCAAAAGTGTCTTTTAGCATTCTCATGTCACACACACTACATACTATACTATATAATAAGTTACAGTTAGGGCTCAAATCTTTTGCTGTGAGTTACTCTGTAGTCCCCTGCTGTGAGCTGATGAAAGGCCTTAGTTTGGCCACGTGTGCTTCAGTTTGTAATATGTCTGTGGGCTCCACTAAAATAGTGCAAAACGCATTATTCCGTTAAATCTACCTTCCGTTAAACATCCATCTCTCGGCATCTCTGAAAAAGCCCAAAAGAGCCGGCTCTACAAATTAATTGAGCCGTCTTCAAAAAATTTGGTTGAGCCGTCTCCACATTTCTTCTTGAGCCGGCTGTCCATTATTTTTTTTTTCTTTTATTTTTATTTTTTTTTGCTTGGCAAGGAGCCGGCTCTAAAAATTCTGATCACAGGAACTCTGATCACCTTCACCATCAAAATAAGCTATTGATACAGTTCTGTAAAACTAATTTCACACATCTGTAAAACTAATTTGACACCTAAATTTAATATTTTTTAATTC